TCTTATTTGCTACTTGTTGATTGTCGAGTACGATGTATAGGCATGGTGACGAGTATCTATACATTGGTGTCTAGCATGACCGCGAGTCCTTATTTTGCGAATAGTTTGGATTGTGTTATACCTTCCATGCTTAATTGATGACTTCTATATGTTGTAAAGAGCTTGTGAAAGGAATTGTGATCTTTAAACTTCGTGGAGCGTTGGCTCGAGTTGAAATACAAATTGTGAAGGTATATGAGATAAGTAAATCTTTGGAGCATTGGCTCGAGTGATAATGTGAACTATGTGATGAAAGTGAAAGAAAGAGAAAGAGTTATTGATCTATTCCCTTGCTGGGACGTTGTTGATTATTGAATATTTTTCCTTGCCGGGACGTTGAGATTATTGATGTTGTACCCTTGCCGGGATTTAATTATTTTATTGTGTTTCCTTGCCGGGATTTTTATTATTATTTTGTTTATTCGATTGCCCTTGTTTGTGATTGTTGTTTGGGTGAGGAAGAGTGTAAAGCACGAAGGGTGATGCCGTGCATTGTTTGTTTATTGTGAGGAAAGAATGTAAAGCACGGAGGGTGATGTCGTGCATTGTTTGTTATTGTGAGGAAAGAGTGTAAAGCACGAAGGGTGATGCCGCGCATTGTTTGCTATTGTGAGGAAAGAGTGTAAAGCACAAAGGGTGATGCCGTGCCGCACGATGTACCATCCGTGTCAATTCTATTGATTATATGTGAGGAAAGAGTGTAAAAGCACGAAGGGTGATGCCGTGCACATTTTATTATTCTAATTGCTTGGTGAGGACGAGAGTAAAAGCACGAAGGGTGATGCCGTGCACATTTTATTATTCTAATTGCTTGGTGAGGACGAAAGTAAAAGCAAGAAGGGTGATGCCGTGCACTTGTCTTTGATTTTTTCCTGATTTGTGCTGATAATTGAATTATGTTGTCCTCTACTTCTATTTATTGATTTTCTTGTTGTTATCAGTTCAAGTGCATTAGTTGTCTTATTCCACTATTACTGAGTTTCTTTATGTTGGCATTTTCCTTTATTGTGATACTTGTTAGTATCGGCTCGAGGTATCCTTGCGCAACATTATGCTTTGAAATTAGGCTATAATTGCTACATGTTTATGTGATTTAATTGCTACTTGACATTTATCATACTAAATATTAAATTGCCTATTTGCTCCTTAAAGCCCATAATTAATTGCTACTTGTCATTACTTGTTTTCTTCAGTGAGTCATGATTATTGTATACTTGTTGTCTTATGAATTCGTATAAATTGTTGCGTTTGTTGGAGTAAATTTCATTTGGAAGAACTGTTGATTTAATGAAATGGAAGCGGGTGGTACGCCTACCACGAGATTTAATGAAACGGGAGCGGGTGGTACGCCTACCACGAAAATATTGAGAAATGGGATCGGGTTGCACGCCTGCAACGAGATATGTTTTGACAGTGAAATCTGCTTTTATTCCCTTATCCGTGTTAGAGTTAAATTATTGATGTTCTTTATTATTTTCTTGAAATTTTGTATTATCTGCTATCCCGGAAGCATGTTCCCCTCCCATTTAGAAATGTTTGTTTTTGTTATTTTCCCGTTGTAGATACACATATATAACTGTACAGGTTGATATGGTAGTCCTGTCTAGCCTCGTCACTACTTCGCCGGGGTTAGGCTAGGCACTTACCAGCACATGGGGTCGGTTGTGCTGATACTACACTCTGTGCTCTTTTGCACAGATCCAGGCACCGGACAGCAGTGGTAGATCGGGAGCCAGTCTCCAGTCCTTCGAGACGCCGAGGTAGCCTTGCAGGCGTCCGTAGGCCCGTTGTCTCCTCTATCTTTATTTATGATCTGTTATCCCTTGTATTCGAGACAGACAGTGTTACTCTCTTTCAAACGGTTGTATGTAGTAAATCTTAGTGGTCCGTGAGTATTGTGACACCAGCCTATTTGTTGAAATTTTCCGCATTTCTATTCAGTTTTCTATAATATTGAGACTTCCGCTTATTATTTAATTTCTTTGCTTTTGTATTATTGCCGATAATTGTTAAAAGAAATTATGTTATTAATAAAAAAGTTATTAAATTTGGCTTGCCTAGCTCTCATTAGTAGGCACCATCACGACTCCCGATGGTGGAAAATCCGGGTCGTGACAAATACTCACGCTAAAATAGTACTATTTTATAATTTTATCACAATAAAATAAGAATTCCTAAACCTAAAAAGGACTATGTGCACGAAACTTTATTTGTAGTTTTAAATATATTCTCTTTCAATTAGCTTTATTTTACTAAGATCGGAAGNTTACTAATATTATAAATAATTAATTGGTTGTAATTCTATACATACAATAAAGACTCCTAAATCTAAAAAGATTTTCAAGTGAACGAAACTTTCCTACTTTAATCTTTTTGGGTGTTAATTTTATTTTATAAATATATTGTCTTACCTAGTTTAAATAATGAAAGATTCAATACATAATATTTAGTTAATTTTAAAGTCCTAAATATTAGGAAAATAATTAAATGAATATATCTTCATATTAGGAAAATAATTAAATGACTATTTTCTCTAGTGTATGTTTTTAAAGGGTAAAAAAGACGAACGACATTTCGCTAAGGGCGTTCGAGCTTTTAAAAAAAATTTAATATTCTTATGTAGTATGTGTATTGAGTATATTTATAAAATTCTGACTCTTTTTTATTCTAAATTGTTCAAATAAATTTTTATTATTTTTATTGCTATTAATAAAATTACTGAACCGAACAAACTATTTTTATTGTAAATTTTTAATCCTAACGCTAATTAAGATCAAACATTAATATCTTCTGTTTCAATGTAAATTCGGTGCTATCATTACTTGCTGGTAAGGAACTACTCATATACGCTAAAGTACAAGGAAAAAAAATATTTTTTTAGAATAGTTGGAATGTCCAATTCAAACTTTCAAAGCTGTTTTGTTGCTTTTTCACCTTTTTAAAGCAAGGGTTAAGATTTTCCAATTCTATGAAAGCTCGTACTCAATTATGAGGAACTACTCATATATTTTTTCTACAATAGAATAAATAACATTTCTAGAATACAATTCAACGCCCTAAATATTAGTACCTCTAAATTTTAGAATAGTTTTAACACCCAATGCAAAGCCTTTTTTCAAAAGAAATTTAACATTTATGTTAAAATCTTAAATATTTGGACTTCTTATATAATTCAAATAAGGAAAGATTTAATAACCAAAATTATAAAATTTTAGAATTCTTAATGTTAGAAAAATAATAAAAAGTACTATTTTGTCCAATCCATTAATAATTTTATAAAGTTACTTGTTGTAAGGTGGATTGTGAATATCCTTTGAAATACTCACGCTAAAATAGTACTATTTTATAATTTGATCATAATAAAATAAGAATTCCTAAACCTAAAAAGGACTATGTGCACGAAACTTTATTTGTAGTTTTAAATTTATTCTCTTTCAATTAGCTTTATTTTACTAATATTATAAATAATTAATTGGTTGTAATTCTATACATACAATAAAAACTCCTAAAACTAAAAAGATTTCTAAGTGAACGAAACTTTCCTACTTTAATCATTTTCGGTGTTAATTTATTTTATAAATATATTGTCTTACCTAGTTTAAATAATGAAAGATTCAATACATAATATTTAGTTGATTTTGAAGTCCTAAATATTAGGAAAATAATTAAATGAATATATCTTCATATTTGAAAAATAATTAAATGACTATTTTCTCTAGTGTGAAATATGTTTTTAAAGGGTAAAAAAGACGAACGATATTTCGCTAAGGGCGTTCGTGCTTACGTGCGTTGCCACGTCGTCTATAGAATTATTATCATTTAATTAATAATTTTGTGTAAGAAATAGTAATATTTTTAACCGAATAAATACTCCGAACATATTTAGTTGAAATATGAAATAGAAATTAAAGTAGTAGAAATCTAACTGCATAAATTATATTTGCTTTCATTCATAAAATTAATGTGAGAAGGCATGTGCTTACTCCCCTGCTTGATATAGTTTGTCATGCTTGTATCCTCTTTATCTTTGTTCTTGGCTGAGTACTGCTGATTTTAGAAAGACTTATAAAGATAGGAGTATGTCTCTTTAGTTGTTTTTACCATAATTCACGAAAAGACTTCTACATATAGTAAGTCTCTTGTACTAGAAAATTTCAACTATTACTTACTCAAAGGGATGATTTTATTTAAAGGCATAAAACTCCGTAATACGGAGGTATAATAAAATTTTACTGCATGTAAGGACCTTGAAATTCTAAATAATTGGTTATATGTAAGCTTTTACGCTTTGAAGATGACTAATTTAATTATGGTTGGTTTAGTAAAAGCTTTAAGCTTTTTATTTAGCTTTTTTCCTCCCTATTTCAGCACATAATGACTTAGTTTTTTGTCAATCGCAACAAAACCATACAAGAAAATAAAATAAATAACAAAATACAAAAAAAGGTTAAAGTTCCATGTATGTAATTTCATTATATGCATAAGCATCTTACGTAAATAAGAAAAAGAAGAGAAAATTATGGATGTGCCTTTCTAATTTAAGTAGGATGAACTTTGTAGGGTCGGCGTATGTGTATTTTAAATCGAAAAAGAATTCCATCATTATGTAATTTACAATTAGATCCTTAAATTATATAAATAATTAAGGATATAAAAGTCAATCAATATTTTAAGAATAATTTAGTCATTCAATATTTAGCATAAATTATTCATGCTTTTATAATAATATATATATATATATATATATATATATATATATGGTACCTATAAGAAGTTAATAGCCATTAAAACATGGTGGTTTCTTAAAATGAAAAAACAATTAAATAAAAGGCAAAGGCTCGAAAAGCGCAAAAAAAAAAAAAAGGCAGAGGCCGTGTAGAGACACGTGTTCGGCCTGGATTTCATGCTAACCGACTCTTCGCATCTTTTAATAGACAATGACAATCTAGGGCTTCGTGTTCCACCCTACGCAAACTTCTTTCGACATCTCTCATCAAGTTTTCTCTCTCTAAAACTAAGACTTTTTCTCTCTCTAAATTTTCTAGCTTTTCTGTAATGGAAACGGAACGTGTGACCGAGTTCCCGATGACCCATCTGGATCGTCGTCCAAGAAAGAGGGCGCGTTTGGGCTGGGACGTACTTCCTGAGCAGCCTAAGGTACAAGACCTGCTTTCATTAATCTGTTTATTCTCTCTCTGGTTTTTTGTTTGCCTTTGTTTTGCTAGATCCGATCAAGATTAGGTTCTTTTTCGTATCAGGTATGGTGAAAGTTCAGTCTTTTTGTGTTTCCTGCTATATATGGTGTTATTACCGTGGCTGCCTCTGTTTTTGGCTGGATTTTATGTTTCAGGGTCTGATTTTGTGTGCATCGGTGGGGAAAGATTCCGCTGTTTTTTTGTTGTATCTGATGTGTAGCTTGAGTTGTTCGCTGGTTCTTGATGAAATTTTCTAATCTTTGAATATCTTTATGAATTCTTATGGTTTTTTGCTGATTAATTACGTGGGGTTCAATTTTTTGATAATTGGTAATGTGGTTTATGTTTTTAATTGTTGCATATTCACTTGAAAAGGGTTGTAAGTGTTTAGAGGCAGATCTCGGACTTAGGAGTCAGTGGATTTGTAGTGGGTGCAGTCTAGTCTATATTATTTTATTTATGTATATATAGAAGAAGCACACTTATACACAAATTTTAAGTTCTTTGGTATATGTATAACATGATTGGGGCTGGGTTTTTATACACTTAAAAAGGTGGTTCCTTTATTAAAGTAAAGTTCCTTTATTAAAAAGGGCTGAATCAAGGAATTATTATGTCAAGGGTAGACTTTGTACTTAAAACACTAGAAACGTAAATATTTTGCTGTTGAATTGTGGCAGGATTTGTTTGTTAAATCTTGGTTGTAATTGATATTTCAGGTGTATTGGTTTTTCCCAAGGGCAGAGCATTCTGCTTCTCTCAATATGCTCTTTGTTTTTGTATTTATGTAAATTTCCCTTCCTTGAATTTCCCAATAACTGTTGTTTGCTGTTAGCTTTATAGTTAATTCTGGTTCAGGTTTTGTGATATCGAAGAGGTAAATTAGAAAATTAGTTCTATTTAAAAAAATGTGAATGGAAATGCTGTGTGTAGGCTCAGCTAGAATTGTTTTGTGGACAAGCTGTTGGGAATCTGACAAGCTATACGACTTCAAGGCAACCTACAGACCTTACTGGTACACTGGTTGTTAAGGGGCGAAATGGTTCTCCCCCATGGAGGAATGATGACAAAGACGGGCATTATACATTTGAGCTTGGAGAAAATTTAACGTCACGCTGTAATTATCTTTCACCACCACCAAAGAATACTATTTATTATTTGGAAGCTGTGGTTACTCTGACGATCTGGTCATCTTTAGTTATACATGAAAATTGCTCAATACACTGTCATTTACTAAAAACTGATGCACAAATAGCAAAATTGAGATTATCAGTTTTCATCATTTTTATTTACTTCCCTTGTTTATCGAGGTGTCTTACCAGTGAGTCTTGTTTGCTTTGCTTCAAACTAATAAAAGGGGTTTACAAACAAATGCATATTAGTAATGGTAGCATTTCTTATGAATTTTTTCCCCATTATAATCTTTATATAACTTCCTCCTGATCTTATTTCAATGTAGACAAAATCCACAGTAAAATGGGAGAAGGTACTTTTGGCCAGGTTCTAGAATGCTGGGACCGTGAAAAGAAGGAAATGGTGGCCATTAAGATTGTTCGGGGCATTAAGAAGTATCGTGAAGCAGCTATGATTGAGATTGAAATGCTTCAACAGCTTGGTAAACATGACAAAGTTGGCAATTGGTGAGTGTAGCCCTCTAATTGTACTTTTACCCTAATAATCCATGTTCTTGACTCACTCGTGGGATTTTGTTATTTTTCAAATGGTTGAACTTGTTTGTTCCTTGCAGTTGTGTGCAAATACGGAACTGGTTTGACTATCGTAATCATATCTGTATTGTAAGTATATACTAGTTGATTTGGAGGATTAATTTCCCCGTTGACAAATGTTCTGGGGATTAAGATTGTGGATGAACTTAAATGGTTTGAACAGGTCTTTGAGAAGCTAGGACCAAGCTTATACGATTTCCTACGGAAAAACAATTACCGCTCCTTTCCCATTGATCTTGTCCGTGAGATTGGCAGACAACTCTTGGAATGTGTAGCATGTGTGTAATAAAATGCTTTGTCACCTTTTTGCTTCTTATCATACATGTAATTTTAAATAGTAGCTCGAAATTTCTTTTGTAAAATTTTGCCTCACTATCATGGCCAAAACTAGGCATATAACTTATGCTCATGATAGCACAATCTTGCATTTGGTGCTTTTAATTCTTGCAGAAGTTGATTTTTCTAATAATATGAATTCTTCTGATCTTTCAGTTATGCACGATTTGCGTCTCATCCACACTGATTTGAAGCCTGAAAACATTCTGCTTGTCTCCCCGGATTTTATAAAAGTTCCTGACTATAAGGTAAAAATTGGACGCTGTGGACGACTTGGAACTATTTTGTGCTTGGTTCCGCACTTGCAATGGTGGATGGTTAATGTTTTTTCACTATTGCCTAAAGTTTTCTTCAAGGTCACCTAAAGATAGCTCTTACTACAAAAGAGTTCCAAAGTCAAGTGCTATAAAGGTAATCGATTTTGGGAGCACAATAAATGATCGTCAGGATCAGAAGTATATTGTATCAACTCGTCATTACCGTGCACCAGAAGTTATTCTGGGTAAGAATGTCTTAGCATCTTGAAGATGTCATAGCATTTTGTGACTTCCTGTTGTCGCTTGCACACTTGGTAGTGTGGTGATTGCAAGTATTTTAATTTACTTTCAAGGTCTTGGATGGAGGTACGCATGTGATATATGGAGTGTTGGCTGTATCCTTGTGGAGTTATGTTCGGTATGTTCTTTTCCTTTCTCATGGATAAACGGTGGTTTGTGTATTATGTAGGTGTAGTAGGTAATAAGTTTGTGTACTTGGTTCAGGGAGAAGCATTGTTTCAAACACATGAAAATCTAGAGCACCTTGCTATGATGGAGAGGGTACTTGGCCCCCTTCCTCAACACATGCTAAAAAGAGTAGAGTAAGTCCTCGGTTTGGTCTCTCATGAAAAATTTAACCACAGCTTTGCATAAGTTGTTAATTGTTTCCTTGTTATAATCAGCCGGCAAGCAGACAAGTATGTGAGAAGGGGACGTTTGGACTGGCCTGAAGGAGCATCATCCCGTGACAGTATCAAAGCTGTGTTAAAGCTTGCTCGCCTTCAGGTAACAATGATGATAATTTGTAGGCTGTATCTTATAACAAGGGTTGGTAGGTGGGGACTAATTTGTTAACTAACAGTTGATGTGTCTACTGCAGAATATAATTATGCAGCATGTGGATCATTCTGCTGGAGATCTTATTAATCTCTTGCAAGGACTCCTTCGTTATGATCCATCTGAAAGGTTAACTGCTCGTGAAGCCCTGAGACATCCTTTCTTTACGCCGGGTCGTCTGAGTAGGTAAATTGGATTGCACTTTATCCTGAAGCTGCGTGCTCCTCACGTGATGCCTGGTAATTTGCTTTTGGACAATCTGATGTAGTGGAGGGATTCGTGCCAGTTTCTTATTGGCAGTCTTAACGAGTTGATGAGGCCCCATGTAGATACAATTCATTTGTATGTTTCTTGCAGTTGGTGATGCAAGTCTGCCGATTTTGTGCCCATATGTATATTAAAAATTGAGCTCTCAGAATATACCTAGTGTGTAATTAGTTTGAAAGTTGGCGTGCTAGAAATGATTGGAAGATTAACTGAGTATATATTTACCTGTTTCCATGATGAAATGTGTAGTTGAGCATCGTGCATTCGGGCTGATGATGATTGACAGGTAATGGATAATGTAATTTTATGGTGTTAATATCAATTAACCTTGTTGGCACTGGGAGATGTGATAAAAGAGGATGAAAACCGAAGACCACAATAAGGGTAAAATGTGTTTGTTTTAATGGAAACATAGTCCTGTAAAACCTTTGTTCCCTTGTTTCGTTTTTATCCAAAAAACATATGCCACGCGTAAGGCTCCAGGACACTAACAATGGGTAAGGCTTTTGCTTTCCTAGCGATACCAATGCGATCGCCCAAGTCCGTTCGCATTGGTTTATTTCAAGTGCTTTTAAGTAAAAATAATTTTAAATTATTTTGTAGTGTTTGGATAAAGTAAAAAAGTGCTTTTAAGTATTTGTTTTTAAGTTAAAATAATAAAAATAAGCTAAAAATTAAAAACTAGAATTCTTAACTTATGGCTTTTGGCTTAAAAGTCACTTACAACAAGCCCATCCAAATGGGCTCTTTATCTTTCTTAAACTCTACTTTTTCCTTTCAAAAAATTTTAGGGGGTGAGGGGATAAGTAACGATAAAACAAAAAGTAAAGGATAGACCTTAAGCGAGATTTATATTTTGTTCATGAGTAACAGGTGGAATTGAAAAAACTTTAACACGCATTTTACTTGTACTTACCACCCCTAAATATTTTCTCCTCTTAATATTTGTTTTTTTGTTTTCCTCACAATTTCATCGTTGAAGTTTTCTTCGTTTCTTTTACTAACAATAGAGGCATCTTATTCACTAGTGAGTAAGAAAGAGCAACAGAGGATTGTAGGAACTGTTCTTCTAAGCATTTCACAAGTGAATAAATAAGTCATGCAAAAAGACCATAAAAAGATGTCTAGTAACTACTTTTTAAAGGATGCGATAATTTTCACGTGCAAGTAAAAATAAAAATTCACATAAGTAAAGAATGAAACAAGGAAAAACAAGATATATAGAGATGAGATTTTTATTTTTTCCATGTATTCAAGTATATTCTAAGTGTGTACAATATTACTTCTCGTCCTCTATTTATAGTATTACATAAAGGTACACAAAATAAATGCCATAGACATGACATTAAACATTTGAGATCATGGGGAGGTTATGGAGGTATGAGAGTTACAATCATAACTCCATAAGTACTGGAGTTGTGGGAGTTATGGTGATAATGGAGAAGAGTAGTGGTATTACTCCTTTATGAGTTATGTATATCCACTATTAAATAATTATTTATAACACTTCCTATTGGATGTCCATAGATAATGTGCCTTATTAAAACCTTACTAAGAAAAAATCCTGTAGGAAAAAATCTTAGTGAAGGAAAAAGAGTACACATATCTTAATACGCATTGTTTGCTGCCTCGTTAAAAACTTTGCTAGGAAAACGCAGTGAGATAAAACCTCAGCTAAGAAAAAAAGAGTGCAGCGCGTATCTTACTCCCTTAATAAAAATATCACTTTACTTCTTGGAAATGACGTATTCCAATCTCGTATACCAGCTTCACAATTTTGAGGTTGGTAATGATTCATTGAACAGATCCACCAAATTATCAATCAAATAAATTTGTTGAACATCTATATCACCACCGTCGAAGATCATGTCTCAAAAGAACTTTGGTGAAATGTGCTTTATTTTGTCGCCTTCGATATATCCTTCTTCCAGTTGAGATAAACAAGTAGCATTGTCTTCAATATTATTGAACTCTTCTTTCTGAAAGAAAAATCTCACATTTGTTGTGTGTAGAGTCACTTGCTTTATAAGTTGCTAATATTTTGGCATGACTTGAATTAATAATTGACAGCCTTCGTAGAATATTTATAATATGATAATACCCTCACATGTAAATAGATTGCTTAAAGAACTAACTATAGTCCTGCATTTGCATAATCAATAAAATCTTGGCAATACTTGTTAGAATAAACAAATCTATATCAAAGATTCCTTTTGCAATATAAAACTAATCTTATTCCAATATCTTTATACAGAAGTAAAACTATATCTCGCTTGCATATTGTTATACTTATAGTTTTAGCAAGATATATTAGTGCACCAATTGCACTAGACACAAAAATAAATTATGTGCGTCATGATTGCTCCAATCCACATAAGGATTTGCCGAAGCTTTATTCGATAAATTTCTTGGGGATCTTAATATGCTTCAGAACAATTTAAATCCTTCAAGAATTTTCATCATATACATTAATTTTTTCAGGTATTGCCAGACAAATCTGAAAGCAACTGCATCCACAACAAGAGAACATATTTCCATATAATCAATGCCAGGACATTTACGAAAAATCTTGTTTCACCGCACTAGCTTTATACTTTCAGGTGTTGGGACTATCAGTCTAAAACTTTACGTTTTCCAAGTGAAGTCAATCTTGATTGCATATTTTTTATTGACCAATCATTTATCTGTCCTTACTATGACAAATTTGAGCTCAAGATCCTCGTCAACGTCAATAAAATTGAGCGGCTACATTATATCAACAATATGTCGACGATCATTTTAAATCGGTTTTATCGTTACCCAATATAGACATAACTTATTGAGATCTCTTTATCTCATTATTTTCAGGTACCCGAGCCTCTCCCATGAGGTCTTATAAAGTGTTATGTCGTGGTGCTCTTCTAGAGCACTTGCCTCCTTATTATGACCATCTTGAGCATTTGCTCCTCTCCTTCTTCAAGGAGTTTTATCTTTGGAACCGATTAGTCTATTACGCTTCATGCGTGCCATGGACTTTGTCCATCATGAACTTTATTCTATTTGGAGCATTAGCAGCTGAAATATAACATTTACCTTTGGGTCAGCAGATGCCCTGGCAATATTTGCAAATGAATTATCACTTGAACTTCAAGTTCACATTTTCTTGTATGAGGATCTAGATGCACCCATAATAATTCATTCCACTTATCACTTTTCAGCTGCCCATTTTCTCCCCCTAATATTGGGATCACCAACACATATCCCAACCTTCTTCGGAAATCCATCTTTGTGCATTATGGTGGGTATAATTAAATCATATAGCATATTCATATTTCAGATGAAAATTATTTAGTTCCTGACCCTGAACCAATTGTGATAGGGAGAATTTATCATAAATTTGTTGGCTAGATGCGTACAAGTGTTGTTGTATATTAAATAATATACCTCATACCAAATATTTTTTTTGGAGTTTTGTTCTCATAACCAATGGTTTAGTTATAATTGGAGACATACGATTTCTGCTAAATCAACTTGGATTTAAACCAGCATTATCAAGAAAAATTATCATAATTTACATTCTGGAACTGTGCTCTAATAATTTGAGCAAGCAACTTGCAAAAGCCAAACTGCAAGTTGATAACGAACGCACATGTGACCATACAATAGATGCATCTATGAAAATCATATAATAGTAATCGGTCCACATGGCGGGTGACTGTGCCCATATAAATATCACCTTTTACTCGTTTCAGAAATTACGGGATTTAATCCCAACCTTAACTGGTATATCATGAGAATAAGCAGCACAAGAGAATTCTTGAAGAATCTCCATTTCTTCAATATATGCCAATATGAATTCTCAATTAATTTTCGCATCATAATTGAACTGGGATGACCTACCGGTCATGCAAACTAATATTTATTTCAGTAAACCTCTAGCTTACTTGTGGCATGTGATTTCATCATCATGCTTATACATGTATAGTACAAATAGAAGAAAGTCAAGTAACCTTTCATATTTACCCGATATGATTATAGTAATATGAAGATATTCAATCTTCCTTTCATTTATAGTCTCAATATGTCAACCACTTTGGCTAATACATTTGAAACTCAAAAAATTTCCTTTGGGACTTAACTATATTATAATGTCAAGAATAATTTGATTCATTCGGGTAGTAACAATTAATTCTTCCAGAACTCTTGATTTTGTACTACAAGATCTTTGGTCAGACCATCCATATGGTGAATGTCTCATTTACGGAGAAAATTATATCATAATAATTGTCATGGTCAAAATCATCATAAGCAAAATCATTTCTTGTTTTAATTTTGCCTTTAATATGTTTGGCGTGCCACTTGTACGCGACCGATGACATATTCATGTAGCCACACAATAAAATTCATTTTCTTTATTTCACTCAAATCTCCCCTAGAGATGAGTTGTGTGGTATTCATCCGATCATGCATTGCACGTCTTTATTCATTACTTTTATCACATATTACCACATTCACCTTCAGGAATGGATCTGCATTATCAATGCTTATCACAAGTCACATTCTCTTCAATGAATGGAGCATAATCATCGCAGCGTGCTTTATTATTTTTCCATACCAATTTGATGGTAAATATTGCCTTCACATTTTGAAGGACTATTTTGAGAACACTTTATTATTCTCCTTTTTACAATTACCATAATGATGACTATTATTATTTTGATCTTTGGCACGCTTACGTTCATTGGTCAACCACTTATCTTCATTTAGACTTATTATGCATCGCTGTCACATTCACTTCAAGATTAATGGAGCAAATCAAGTGAGACAAGTTTCATGCTTTTTCAAGAAAAATAAATTATTTTTCTTTAGTCATCATTATATTATCAATATGGTGCATTGGGGCTTAAACAAACGTCTTACCCATATAAAGACATGTTAGGCCATATTTAGGATGGAATCCAATGACTTATCATCATGGTGCTCCAGGACTCAAACTTCATGTCTTACTCTATAGTGCGGTGGGACTTGAACCCACCGTATTATCCTCAACCAATATATAATAGGCCAAACAAAATCACAACAACGACGTAGTAAAATCCCACCAATGAAGTTTAGGTAGGGTAATTACATCAAAATATTTATTTGAAGGCTATACACCTGAAATAAAATTAGTATTGGGTGATATGCTCAACTATTTCGCACACTAAAAGAAACCTATAAAATTAGTTGGTGAAAGAATAAATACAACCCCATATTACAAGTGTGAAGCACATGTATTTAATTACCAGATGAACAATACGCTAAATTCCGCGAGATGACATTAGCTCAAATAGAAACCAAATTACATGTGTTGCATTT